GTTTCATTTCTCCATCACAAAATACCAACTTTCTTCATTTTAACAGATAATGTTTCAAAAAAAAAATTCGGGGGGCAGTCTCCCGTAAGCCCCCGTCCCTTCAACTCCGGGACCCCCTTAGTTTGAAAGGCTGGTTCCGCCCCTGCCTTCCTCTACCTCTACCTCTACCTCTACCCCTTCCTTTAGAGTTTGAGAAATGAGTAGAGGTAGAAGCCTTTAAAGCTTGCTCCTCTGAAGTTGAACTTCGATTTATCTTATGTTCATGGACTAGCAAAGAGTACTGTAGTTCATCAAGAGAGAATGCCTCTATTTCTTTTGATTCTTCAATTGAACACACGTTATAATCAAACGTTGGTGTCAAGGAACGCAATATCTTCTCCATTATGGCGACATCTTCCATCTTCTCACCATGAAATCGCATTTTGTCCCCGATCTCCATAGTCCTGGCACAGTAGCCAGTGACAGATTTCTCATCCTTCATTTGCAGAGTCTCAAAATTTCTTCTCTAAGCTTGAAGCTATGCACGCTTCACTGTAGCAGAGCCTTGATATTTTTTCTTCATAGAATCCTAAATATATTTGGAAGTTTCTTTGCTAAGAATTAGTTCCAAGATGGGACGATTAATTGCCTGAAGAAGGTAATTTTTTGCTTTCAAATCTTTTAGCTTTCTCCCTTCCAACTCCGTTTTCTGAGCATGTATCAAGACTGTATTTGTTGCTGGTTCTTCAATTCCAAATTCAACAATCGGCTAATACTCTTTTGATCGTAGAAAATTCTTCATTAGCATACTTCAATAGTCATAGTGACCATCAAAACGTGGGATCGCCGCCAGCACAAAATTTGAATCTGAAGCCATCGATGCTGTTTGGGAACTCTTTCTCTGTTGATTTCCCTCACACATTTTCTCCTCTGATACAACTGATACAAAGTTAGGAAAAAAAACAAAAGAGATTGTTGGAATGGTTAATCTCTGTCAATATTATTGATAAAGAAAAAAGCCTATAAAAAGGCTTTACATCATAACACTTCATCATATAAAATAGAATCACACACGACACTTTCTCGGCCAGAAATCAAATGACAAAATACCTAAAAACTCGGACAAACCTACCAATGACTAGAGCTTCCAATAAATATTAATAAATATGAAATAAAACATTTAGGCCATGTTTGGTACACATTATTTTTTCATTCTCATTTTTCTATTCATTTTTAACCATACATTTTTCAATAAAATAATATTTTTCATCACATCAATCACTTTTTCTTCTTTTTCAACCACACATTCTTCATGGACCCCACTTTTTCTTCTTTTTCAACCACACATTCTTCATGGACCCCACTTGATGTGAAAGGATAAAATGTATTATTTGAAGATGAATGGCTCCAGCGTACGAATTCTTTACGGGCTTAATCACTGCTACAATCAATAAGAAGAAATCAACTTGCATCGACTCCAGATTCAGATTGAACAACTCAACCCGTACTCTCATTGCTCCAATTTTTTGCGAAGCTATCCAATTCAGGTACTGAACTTTGCTTTTTCTGGTCCTGTTTAATCACACAAAATCAGGACACATATTTTTATAGGTACGGGTGGTTTTGGTGATTAAAGTTTGTAATTTTATGAGACAAACCCAATTCGCCAACACTTGAATCGTGGATTTTTGGTTACTGGGTTTCATTATAATCACTCAAAAACGCACACCCTACCGGAATACTTTTGTGGGTTATTGTTAATTTTGCTTATTTTTAATGTTTTTGATTAACAGGTGTATTGCATGCTTAATTAGATTTTGTATATACTCAATAAAGATGAGACAGAGGCCTAAAGGTTCTTCTGAAAAGTCAAATTCATCTGTTCGTAACAGTGGTGAGGCAATCGATAATGGAGAGGGAACTCCTTTGTATGATAACAATAAGAATGTGGTCGTGGTTGCTAAAAGGTCATCATATGTGATACTGGCATTGTTTGTGCTGGTCATATATGGGACTTGGGGTGTTTACCATTATCAGTATGAGAGTTTGCCTGCGCCGCTTACCCTCGAGCAGGTTGGAAAGAGAGGTTTCTCTGAGCACGAGGCCATGAAACACGTCGTAGCATTGACTCGATTAGGCCCACATCCTGTTGGTTCTGTTGCTCTAGATCGTGCTCTGCAGGTAATTTATGATTGGGGTGGGAGTGATAAATTTGACGTAAGCCTTGTGATCAATATACTTTTTGCTGTTTATATGGTTATATTTTCATATTTTCTAATTGGTTAGACTTTTGATACATGAACATCTTGATATATATGTTGTAAGCAAGATAATAGGTTTTATTTTAGTTACTTTAGATACACGATAGAAAAACACTCGACGATTTATAATAGATTTTGAGAATCTATTTCATAAGTGACTTGAGAGAAAACACAGTAAGTGTTAGATAATAAATGGCCCAAATCTTCAATTAAATGAAAAAAGAAACTTTAAGTTGGGTTCTTTATGTATTATTCTTCGGATTTTTGACGAATCAAAACAAGTTTAAGGATGAATAAAACTTCCCCACCCCAACCTCAAAAATTAATATTTGAGAGGTAAAAAATACACTTTATGGAACTAACTTTATTGCAATTCGCCCCCTAAGGTTGCACTATTTTGGAGGGAATCAAGTCACGAATTCCAAGTAACAAGGCATGGAAATCACTTCAAAAGTATTCGAAACTAGAACTATTACGATGATCTGAAATTTATTTCACAATGCAATTATGGCCTTGCTTAGTAATTTGGTAAAAATATGTTTTTAGAGAGGATGCTGTGTTGTAAGCACAAATGCTTTGATATACAATGAATTGATTTTTCATGGAGATTCGTATATTGGAGCTAGAATATTCCTGGGGACAATTTGTTTTGCATTCACTCAGCAACATTTCAATCATATTGCACGATCAATTGTCCTTCCTTTTCTCTGCCATTAGGGATACAATTTCCGTCTGTATCTGAGATTTATGCCCCCCCCCCCCCCCCCCCTCCCCTTCCTTTTGTTCTCGTGAGTTTGATTCTATATGCCGTTNTCCTTTTGTTCTTGTGAGTTTGATTCTATATGCGGTTGGGGCATCTAACCCCTATCAAACTTTCTTGGTGGAGCTTGAAAACTCACTGAGATTGTGTTGATGTCTTGCCAAAAAAAAAAAAAGGTATTGTATATTGAACTCAACAGAACCTGATAAGACATTATTTTTTAGTAAATTGCAGAATTCCCCCCATGAAAGTTCCTTGAATTGGCATTTAATCTGAATAGATTCTTTTGGTGTGTTTAAAATGACAAATTGACGATTACCCTTTAGAATGGGCCAAACATATTACCAGATTCCATCAAAAAGGGGGACAAACAATATTTGGAACGTACAGCAGTGGTTGGCTTCAGGGATATATGGTGTTTCTTTCACCTTTGGGTGTTAACTGCAAAAAACATGAGTTTGTGGGACGGGGCAATTGCAATTTTTCCCATGTATAAATGTAAAAGGAACTTACAGATGCATTATCAGGGATTTGTTGAAAAATATGAGAATTTTTCCCCCTCATCAAAAGATTTACTTCAGTGACAAGATGGTGGCATTTCTATGTCCTCAGGTTGAGTAACTGAAGTTCAACTTCAGTGAAATCTGAATTCTTGAAGTAATGCTGCTCAACCTTGGCATGTTCAGAAGAGCCTATTGCATGAGAGAGCTTGTTGAAGATTTGCTTGATCACCATTCCTACTGGTTTAAATTAGTTTGGTCTGGTTAGTTATTCAAATGGTTCAATATTCACATGCAATCATATTTAGAGAAGTAGCTCCAGATAATGGAGTTCCTAGTAGAATTGGATGTGAACTTTTTCCGTACAT